AAAAAGGTTGGGAAAAACTCCAGGCGTATAGTAGTACTTATCGAAAGAAGGGAAAAGGTCTCGACGAACATGGGTCCAAAAACGCATTAGTTTCTAGGGTTAGTTTCTGAGTTACGAGGTGTCTTTGTCGGCAAGACATTACCCTTGCAGCGTGTGTTCGATACGTCCCTCGTTTATTTCAACCTGCACCCTGACGCGTATTCTCGTAGAAATAACATTTTTGAAGTTTTTCCCAACTTTTCTCTATACTTTGCATATATTCGTCACATTGTGGCCTCTGTATATGGTTAATCGTTCATCTTATTTGTTATCTTAAACTTAAATTAGTCTCGAATCATAAACAGTATAGTAAGGTCTGGGATTTATCTCAACCTATAAATAGACGCCTAACTGTTGTAATAACATTCCTTTGATCTCTATTGCAACTCGGTTCTGTTGCTCGAATTTCCTACCACATACGCGCATCTCTCTCGCTGATCTGCCTCCTAATAAACTAATCGTATTCTCCTTGCATATTTGGCTTGCCAAGTAGCGTTATCGATTTACTCGATCTTTCTAATCGCGCGTTATTTTCAGGAAGGAAGAGAGCGAGAGGAAAAGAGAGAAGATGGAAAGGAAGAGAAAGAGGAGGGAGCATATGTTACGCGTTGCATATCGATGTAATGTGCATTGACATCTAGCAGAAGGACACGATTCATTCAAATGCTGATAGACGTTTCAACGACGTCGTATAGACGAGTTTCTACGAACTGCAAATCGTTTACCTTTTATCTGCCGAAGTCCATCGTTCATCTATCTTTGACATTGTTATCTAACTCGTTATGTTGCATCGACATCGGGCTTCTTAAAAATTAGCTTCGCCGATATATCGAAGAAACATCGTCGATATATTTCTTCGATCAAGATAAGGATGGAACTGCGTATTCGTTGTTGGAAGCGTTATTAAAGAGTTACATCGATGAAAGAAAAGGACGTAAGAAACGAACGGTAACGAACGTGCGTTAAATACGAGTTAATAAGAAATATTTACGCTTGTAAGTAGTCGGAAGATATTATAACACTTGCACGACTCTAATTAAAATACAAGATTAGCAGCGGCAAAACATTTAATTTATGATACGAAGAAGTATCGTGATATTTCCTACTTACTAATAGATTACACATTTCTGATCAATTCGTATTTTACAACGCAGTAACGTACGTTCGTTACAATTCTAATTTTTTGCCACAACTCTTTAACGATTCATCCAATGGCATATGTGACACATTGTCCTTATCTCAACTCATAGAATGTACGGACGGTTGGGAAGAAATTCGGACACCCGGTACATTTTGCATCGTCTGTATCCATAGATCGGCGTTAAATCGCAGAGATAAAATTAATAAAATACGATGTAAAAGCGATCACGGGGCTGTTAATTTAAATACCAGTAGCTAGTAGCACGCAGATATCGATCGAATATAGATCGGACATCAGATGGAACGAAAGGTATTGCAAAAAATTTGCAAATGTATTAACTGTACAGGCCGGCGAAGAGGGGAAGAAAAAATTAATGGCGTTCTCCGTTAATTGTCCTTGGCTTCCTACACGTTCTCGTTTCAATAGCTACCAAAGAGACACAATCGAATTAATCAAACGCATCGAAACTGCCTTAACTACGGTAGAACTGCGTTTATCCGAACTGATGTCATCGCAATGCCCGATTTACCGAATGTGGCCATGCTCCGTATCGCTTATACGAATAAAGGTTTTTGCCAATTTTGCTTTAGTACCAGTAACGGATGCCATTTTCCGCCTCAAATACCTATGGATTTTATTAGCGTTTACATACAATGCGTTCTTTCCTCTATTCGATCGAGTGAATTCTGACTATCACAATTTAGTACGAAACTAGTGATTATAACCAGTAACAATAGCGTTCCAACTATCGGAACAAAATAATGATCAAAGAAATCGAGAGTGATGCGAATCCAACGCGATTAGCAAAAATATACGATGTCGGAGAAGCCACGATCGCAGACGTTAAAAATCAAAAACACGATATCGAAAATTATCCGAAGCATGTGAATTCCTCGGATGTTGGCGTCAGTAGAAGAACCCTAAATATACCGATGAAATGGGTTTGTTGCGATAAAGACGATAATAATGACGATTTTATACAAATGGAAACAGCAAACGAAAGTGGTAATGGAGAGATGCCTTCCCATTCCGAAACATTCGTGGCATTCGAAAAAAGAGCTTCGGTGATTCCAAGTACAAAAAGAACGTGACTCTATGCAGTTATTTATGTTGAAAGAATTATGCGACTTACGTGACGGGTGGAAAGATATGAGATTCACAAATATCCAAAGAAACTGTCGATTAATCTCAGTCAGTATTATTTGAACAAATGAAATTTCATATGACAAAAAGTGATTGTTCTATTATCAGAACAGTTTTGGTTCAGAACCCTATGGTTCGTAAGAAATAAGGGAAGCTCTACTGTATTTACAAATTTCAACTTGGTAGAATCTATATATATAAAAATTAACTCCGATTATACGAATGACAAATAGCGAAAGAAGGGAGAACTAGTGGATTATTATTATCCGACTTGTTCGGTTAAGCTAAGTCTACATCGACGGACAATTGTCCACGGACACGTGTTGCAGCCAATCAACATCTGTCTTTCGTGGAAAATCCGCAGAAAGGCAGATTCTGATTAACTGTGATACGTGTCCGCGGACACTTGTCCGCCAATGTAGACTCAGCTTTATGCGATACGTCTAGTCTAGTTATCCGACACGCTTGTCCTCCGATCGAAAAATCTAGTTTTACTGTATCTAATGACATATAACCATATATAACTATAGAAAATAACCACATCCGTCTATATTAAATGGATAATATTTTCACATTTGTACAATGCGATGAAAACTTCATTTGTATTTTATCGATACAAGATCGACAAGAAATTGTCGATCATTTGCTCGTCGCAAGACTGCAAATGTTTATGCATTCGTGTACGTAAAACGTAAAGGTCTGCCGAACGCGTATGATACGCGAAACTGTATAAATTCTGCGTTAGTTGCGTTTATAGAAACATAAATTTGTATAGAAATATAGTACAAGAAATCGCAGTCCACTCATTAGCGAAAAACCTGTCGAGAATATTAGGAATAAGAGGGTAGAACGCGCGAAAATTACCTACGGATACGTTTGTGCGAAATACGTCGACTATCAAATTATGCAATCAATCGTTATCGATCTTTATAGCCTGGCGATCATTCGGATAGAAACTCCTAACGAGTATCGACCGGTCTTACTTGCGTTCTCAAAGATAACTCGAAATTCGTTTACTCGAAGCATCCTGCGTCTCGTTCGCGGTTTTACGTGCTTTTTTCAATCACATTTTTATACATCTCGTGTGCATCGCTTCGTCTTCGTTGTTTATCTGAACTTAGCCTTTGTTCGATCGTCGGATTCTTTCGGTTCGCGCCTAACAGTGTTCGTAATTTGGCATGTGCTTAATCAAATCAGACTCGCCATTGTCAGTGAATGGATCATTGCCTGTACAAGTAGATGATTTCGAAAGAGATGCAAAGGGAGTCGAAATCGAAAGTGCAACATTGGCACCGATTAAAATATCTTCTTGGAGAGAGAACGTTGTCAGCACGTTCAGGCAAACGTTGCGCTGTGTTTTCGTTTAGTTTGGAATTCTTCACGGAAATTTTCTGTCCATCAAAGGTAACGACTACGAGGAAACGAACGTTGGCAGTGAAAGTGGCAACTCGTTTAGCGAAGATTAACAGTTTGATTGTGTTTGGTCGTGCTCGTGAAAAGATTGTTAGAGATACGCTACATACCTATGTATTTCATCTAAAATTCTTGAAATCATTTCGTAGTTACGCGCGAAGCAAAGTGATAACTTTCTTCTCGTGAAAACGGTAGCTTTCTTTCGTGTATTACGTTATGTATATTTACGATATTAAAAACAACGTGCAGGAGGCACGGTCAATGTAATTCTTAAATCTGAAGAACATGGATACGTTCATCATCCGTTACGTTTCCAGATCACAAAGGTTAAATGTTTCGTCGTTGATGATAAGTAGAGCGCAAATTTTTATGCATTTATAGGAAATTTAAACGCAGAGTACAAACGATACGTCAAAATATATAGGACATTAATTTTTAAACCGTAATACGGTTTTCTACCAAGTCTGTACTTTTTTAATTATATTCTAGAAAACACGAACTCGCACAAGAATGCGTTTAGTAATAATTATCAGGAGAATTAATAGGCCTGTTTCGAGTGCGATTCGCTGATAAAAATATGTCTTGGGAAATTTACATTACGCTTCGACGAGTTCGGCTGCACCTTTGCACGAACCGCTCGAAACAACCAATTTCCAAACCAACTTCGCTTTCCTTTCTAGATTTTTCTAATCTCGCGTCAAGATCGAATTTTCTCGTATTTTGTTCGAAGTAAAAATACGTTTTTAACGCTGCGATATATAATTAGATTAGTTGAGCGATATAATTAGATTCAGATCAAAGAAATATCAGAGACTGACACAATTTGCAAAGTATATTTTGTAAAGGTGTTCGTTCATCGTCCGTTGGACCGGGTATTGGCGATATTTCTCGAACAAAACGATCAAAAAAGTAGATCACCGTATGTGACAAGTTATTTCGCCGAGAAATCCTTGAATGTAAACGTAGCTTGAACCGATAGCGTTTAAATCGTTCGTAATCTCTCGTGTATCTTTCACATTGTTACTATTCGCATGTATTATTTATACGCGTGCACATAACAAACATGGACAACGTGGACGATGTGGAGAACGTACAGGTATTCACGAAACTCGATTTTCTATAGGATAACTGACCGTTTGTATTGTCCCTGCAAATCGTTGCGCATAAATATGAATCGCGCGATCGAAGAGGCTGGAGCATGGTACGCGTGTACTATCGGAAAAATTCATGCGGCGTATGAACCGATATTCCGTGCAAATGTAAATTTTATACACATTTTCAGTGACACACATACAAAGAAATGGGGGCTCTACCTTTGTACGTAGAGTCAGTCGACGCCTCGCATCGTACATACACATGCACGTCTCACGTGTTTGTTTCTATTGGTGGAGGAGTTAGCCACTGGCCGCCGATGTAGTAGTAGTACACAGAGCATTCAGTAGTATATAAGGGCGACTCTTTCGTACGACCACGCATAACCGACAGGGAGTCATTCCATGACACGCGTTGCACGCGACCGGGGCAGTCTCTCTTCCTCCGTTTTTTCCTCTTCGTCGTTATTCTTTCGCCGTATTGTGATTGCCGCTTAGTTCGTCAAAGTGGTTCCTAGGGGGTAGCTTGACCCTCACTCTCGCCTTCTTTGCCCCTCTTCTTTTTATCTTTTCTCCCTCTCTCAAGATTCATCATCCTTTGCACAACGATTTTCCGCATTTCTATACGAGCACGCCAGTATCTATCTTTACTATTGAGAAATCTCCTTAACAGATTCGTCGTACTCGTTTGGAATGTCTTTGTCGATGATCGCCACAGGAGGATCGTGGCTGACGTTAATGTTGTCCATGTGCTTGATGTTAATGGTTCTGCTATTGGTGGTCCGACGAGGGAAATTTCTCTATGCCCTAAGAAAAGTGCCATACCCGCCTGCTTTGCCCATCATTGGCAACGCGTATCAATTATGTTGCAGTCCGGAAGGTAAGCGATATGTTTTCTGAGACACCGTCCACTTTGGCTATTCGTAGCATAAACTGTAGACTTTCTTACAATTTCCTTCAATTTTTGCGATACGTTATTTGGTACGTTATCTACACGTGACTCGACTCTTAGCCTAACTTAATCAAACTGGGAATATTCCTATACAAGATTAATTGCAAAACCGTTTATTCGATCGTTAGTTAAAAAATTAACGTCTCGCGTAGAATGGCTAGGAGAATGTTTTTTCGAAGAGAAATCTAGCCCTCGTCTCGTCGTTCCCGCGCTACAAATATACCTTGCACATCTATAAATTTAAGAAATCAGTTTTTAGCTATAAAGTATGAAAACGCTGAATTACACGATCGATCCGCGTGTCGTTTCTTAATCCGTTGCTATACAAAGTCGAGTAATATACACGTGGCGTGAATCGTAGATTATGGTTCAAATGTGACAGACACGAATGACACTCGTGATATAGATTATCCCGAAGAAATTCGTTTTCACAATTGACCACTGTCAAATATAATATAATCTATTCCGACATTTTTCATTTGCCCCGCTAAAGCAATAAATTATTCTGTCGCAGATAGTTGGTGAAAAAATTGCGAAGCAATCGAATTAAGCGTTATGCGAGTTAACGTTTTAGGGAGTGTGATACAATTGCAGTGACCTGTTTCGATATTACAAGACCGTAGATTTCTACGAATTTGTAGAAAAATTGCAAAAATGAACGCAATAAGAAGTATATAAAATATCCAAAGTAACAGCGCATCCAATAATACTACGATACTCTCGAAAACGTAAATTTGCGTGAAACAATTCAACAGGTAGCCACGGCCCATGGGCGCTATTTTACGCAAGCGTAACTGTCGCAGTATTGCTACGTACTAATCATGTGCACGATTACCGCGTCATGATACACATTTTGGTATTCGTTACTCGTTGCGTATTTGTTCGAAATACGAAGCTCAGAAAATTCCATAATTGGCGCATTTTTGCAACAAGTAGATCGTCAGGTTGATAAATATTATATGGCGAATATATCACATTGGTAAATATTCCTCGAAAATACGAGATATCGGAGATATCCGTGAGATTCGACCACGTACGTAATTCTGCGTGCTCGCGTATTTACTTACTGTTATTTCCAAGTTTGTACAAGATTGCGATAACCTCGACATCAAAGAAATTCGCGCCATTGACCATGCAGGCAGATGCACCGATATCGAGAGCGGAGACACTAGCGGTCGGTATTTCGGTGTCGCGTAACAACAGGTAAACGCGTAATTTACACCGGTGAAAGCTAAATTGCGCGATGCTGGTGCACTACCGGTACAGTACAGTGGTGCACTTGATACTCCTGATAAATATACGGCAGATTCGATTACGTAGTTTCGTGTAACACGATGCCGAAAGGAACTGTCATCTACCGCGAACCTTATCTTCGAATAATACACTTATTTCCATAAGAGAGATTAAAAGAGAGCATCTAAATATATTTATATGCGATATCGGCAATTATCTCATTGTAAATACGTATGATTTATAGTAACAAAGTGAAGGATTTCGTAGATAATCACGTACGTTGTTTAGTATTGCTATATAATATATAATATATAATTATTAATATATAGTAAAATAGCGTAGCGAGAATGTTAACCATACGGATCTTTTTTTGATGCATCGAACGAATATAAAATATTTTATAATATCGTCAACTTCGTTTCGCGACGACACCTCTTTTTAATACCTTTTTCGCATGGTTCGATAGCAATCGAGAAATATAGACGAAATATAACGGTGCAAAGTATCGGAATCCATCGGTTCAAGAATTACGCGTTGCAACAGTTTGCGGTTAAACTTCGTTCCGGGGCGCCACTCTTTTTTTAATCTCCCGATAGTATTTGGTGAATAAGGACAAAATATAGAGCGTGTCATAACATGTGGAACCTACTCGAGGAGTGGACACGAGGCGCAGAAGCAACGAAAAAGTTTCGCGTGGACGCGTGTCCCATCCGACCTTCTTTCAAAGTTACAGACATTTTTCTGTTTCAATGGTCCGCGACAGTTTATCTTCGTACGAAGTGCTCGAAATGGCTATCCTCGGCCTGTGTCCAAACTTGCAGCCGGCGTGTTGAAGAACTTCGCAATTTTTCAAAAATTCCACAGATAATAATTTGAAACAAAGTCGGATAGCTGCTGTGCACTGCTCCAGTAGGTTCCACGTTTATAACACGCTCTGTGTAACAATTCTCAGCTTAGAAATCCATTGGCCGTAATCAATATATGAATCGATACGGCAAATAGTCCTAAACATAACAGTTTCGAGTCCGTTGATACGCCAATTTAAAAATCCCGACCGATATATCAATCGACTTGGTAAATATCATTTTGGACAACGTGTTCGGACTTCCGGTGACCGGAGAAGTAATAGCCCAATCAATACTACGACGATAATGTTCATAATGTCAACAGTGACTAACGCTATCTTATGTCACCAACGGTCTATCTCCAATGCATAAGATAGGGTAAGTTACACACGATAGAGTGGGCTAAAAGTACCAAAATTTAACGAGTCATAATTTCTCAACAAACGAACATCGACGTTTAAACCCTGCACCGCGATTCTACTCGTCGATCGCTATCAGATCGTGCGAAGAAGGTTCAAATAAAGATTTGCTACCCCAAAAGGAAGTTTAGCCTAAATGTGTTAAGATATAATCTAAAAATATTATATAAAAGCTATCTTTGCGCTTCACCTTTGCCCCTCTTCCCACAAAAAAAAATAACTAAATCGAAGATATAGAATGGAATTTTACAAAAGTTACATGGGCCTGATATATCTACATAAGATTAAAAAATAGTTTATCGTTATCAACCCTTTTATTCCAAAGTTACGAATGGGTAAATTTTCTTTCTCGATTAAACAAACGAGCATTATAACGAACATGGTATAATAACGTAATGGTTCTATCTACTCGTAAACTGGTTTCATTATCTCCAGAATTATCTAATAATTTTACACTCGATCATGAATTCCTGTTATCTATCGAATGGTACATTCGTGATATTGGTCTAAGAAGGACGCTGCATCGGTATCTTTTAAACCGCACACGTAGGCGCCAGTGATCGATAACGTTCTGCTATCTCTTTGTTGTTGAGAAAATTCAAGATTTTAATTTTAATTTGGCGCGCAAGTATAGGCAGAATTCTCCGCGGGTATTTCAGGAACTATGGGGGAAAATTTGGGGGAAACACGCGGCTGGTAACATATTCGAAAATCATGAAATAATCGTGGAAAACCAAATGGGTGGTACTGGCACGGGAAGTTGGAACTTCGAAGAAACGGTTTTTCGTATGCATCGGTCTAATAATTCATTTTTAACGCGTATCTAAAGTAGCGGTCATCGTGAATGATAAAGTTCGATGTTTGGAAAACGACTTTTAATTCGGTTGGGGAAAGGCGCTCGCGAACCAGACGTTCATCCGACGTGTACTGGCGAAACAAACAGAAAGTCACGAGAAAGAAAGAGGAAAAAAGAAAGGAGGATTTATCCACCTCTGCCCGCTGAACGCTAAAGATAAATGGTTAGCCTGTCGCGCATAACCAGACGAAGAAAAAAGCGGGTCGAGGTCGTTCGCGGCCTGAATAACGTTATGATTCTTGTATGCAATTACACGTGGCGCGAAAAAGCAAAAAGTTCTTAGCAATAACGATGATTTTAAGAAATCGTTTAACCACCGATACTCTCGTTCGAATATAAACCGTACATGATGTTGTGTAATCGACATGTACATGTATCTGTCGCGTAATTATAGTTGGTATTATATCGATACCGAATTAATTACTAAGCGAACATTATCCTAGCGTGACATAATTTGGATGAAATTCCCTAGAGATTAACAAGTACGTTCCCAATGAACGATGACACCACTAGCATACCAGAGAAAGCAAACGGTGGCGATGACTCGAATTCTCCATGATCCGAAGGAAAGCGTAAGCGTCTCGTTCGCGCCAAGGTCTACGAGAGAGTACGCTTGTTCTTTTTGTTACGAATCATTACTACTCGATGACCTCGCGTTGCATTTTTGCCGGTCAACGTCCGGTCAGTGTCAGCGTACAGTCACTTCTCTTTTGCTAGAACTGCAATACCAGTCTTTCTGGTTTGGATCTATCCTGTTCCTTCGCTTTGCAACATTCTCGGAAATATCGAATCTTTAGAGAATAGCGTATAACGACGATCGTATTGTGGCGCTGCAACAAATTTTGAATTCGGTAAAGCCGTCGAATCTTTAGAAATAGTTCGAGCAATCAACAAGACTGTTTGTAACAAAGGAAAACGATGCGCAGTTTTTTGGAATCAGCTTACTTTCTTTCTCTTTTCTTAAACTTGCCACGCTTTATCGTTCGATTGCCTGCGAACCGTTAACCGGGCACTCGAACGTCACGAGCGGTCGCCTCAGGGCCTGTTGCTACCTGATATGACGGCGACATAGGGTTAGGTTAGGGTTAGGTTAGGGTTAGGTTTGACTTTCTCTTCCTTCGAAATATGCACTCGTCGATTACTCCTTCTCTTCGCTTCGTCCATCTCGAGAAAATGCCAAGTCAGGAAATTCGAGTGTCCACACCCCCTGCCTAGCAACTGGCCTAACTTCCACCATTTTTTTGTATCGTCAGTCTGTAATGGAACTTCAACGAGTTTCTTCTACGAATCTACCTATGTCCCGTGGCTTTTTCTCAATCTGCCTTACGCTTCGAAGAAACTCGATTGTGTCGAGTTGGTCTTCGATGTAGTCGAGCGAGAGTTGTGCGAACGATCCTCCCGTACTGCACCAGACGTTGTTCTTAAGAACTTGGAACGCATCGGCAACCCGATATGTTCCTGCCGCCTGAATTGGGTCGGTCAGATACTTGGAAAACATATGGTTTCAGCAAGATGGGGCTACGCCTCATACGACGCGCGATACTATCGTAATCTTGAAAGAAATTTTTCTCAAATTGTGACAGAAAGTCATTAAATTCTCTCTCGCTCTCTTGACCTAAGCAGACTTTTTCCTTGGGAAAAGACTTTTTTTCTTACCCGGATGTGCTTTTACCAATCTTCGAGATAAATTTAACGTGTACGCGTTGCCAACTATTTGTAGCAACTAGCTACTTGTTCGCAGAGCATTCCAGGATTTTTCTGAGGTCATCGTTACATCAACATACCGCGAACCATTCACAACTGTGTCGTGTATTATCGACTGCATTGATCCTATTTTTTTTAATGCGGCTGTCAGCTGCTGTTCCTCGTAATTCGATGCCGTACATCCAGATAGGTTCTCTGATAACTTTGTAGATTAATAGTTTGTTTTCAGGATTCAGATAGGGTTGTCTTCCTGCGAGCTAATACGCGTGTCCTCTTGTTATTTTCATTTATTCTATCTTCTTTCATAAGTGGTGTCTCCCTGTTAGCCTCTTGTCCAGGTACGTTTCGTGATATTTTACCGTTTTCCACTGTGGCATATTTTTGTGGTTTCTCTAAAATTTGTAAAGCAGTGAAAATCATTTGGCCAATGTCCTATCTCGCATATACATAATTGGAAAGACTCGACTAATAAAAATATACATACATATTTATCTTATTTTAGGTAGAAATTATTTCTCAGTAAAATGATAGCGCTTCTTTTATGACACCCTGTACATACATACTATCTTATTTAAACGATTTCTATAGGTAGTTATGGATCGTTAAGGATATAGAAACTTGGAGGAAGAACGAAATAATAGAGAGAACGGCGAACATATTATAACTTTTTCCGGATCGAACGATCGTTCTCAAACGCTGTGCATCGTCTCCTTAACAAGTAGGTAATTCGCGCCACGAGGCTGAAACGAGCTTAGAGCAATGACTTGATTGGCCGCGATGATTACTGCAAAAAGTCTGTTTCTGTACGAACGATGTCTGGGGTCAACGACCGCTGCAAATCACATGGAAACATCGACGATCTTGCAAAACTACGACACTTTCGATCTCCACCTCATTTCAGATAAGAATATTTCCTTCCAGACCTTCGTGAATCTCTTCTTTGTTCTGTTACTCTGTTGTACGAACTGTCTCCTTCTTCTTTCTATATCGCAGGCCCCTTCGTTCCCACGTCTCGGTGCACTTCTCCGATCAGTGCTTCGAGGTCCCTAAAGTTTCTCTCGCATAATACACGTCTGCTATTTGACTTTGTTTTCGAGTTACAGCGAGTTTTATGTTGAAATAATCCTACAGAGGGCGGCAGGAGGAGACAGAAGGAAGCAGTTGAGCTAATGTGATTTACCTTATTTACAAGCAGAACGCAATATCTGACATTGAACCTTGTATTCTAATTCTTCGTCTCAGTATCTCACGCATAAATAAATAAATGCCAGATTATTAAATGCGAAGGTATGCAGATTTAGTTTGATAAAGGAAAAACTCGCTATAACTCGAAAACAAGGTCGGATAGTCGTACGATTATGTGAGCGAAATCCATCGCCTGAGTATTCGGGACAAAGATCAAAAACTGCATATAACTTGCAATTTCTCTGAAACTCGATATTAAAGAGTCTGATGTGAGCAAAAGTCTGTTTATCGAGTCTTCTTTAGTATTTTCCCCACTCCGTGGCTCGATTTCAATCGATCACTGAATGAATTTCACTAAAAACATAAGGAACATCCAGTGTAGCAGCGTGTGGCATTATTATATTATGCAGCGTAACTATAGTTGAAATAAAAAAAAATTACATTCGTACTTCAAGATTATATCTGCGTGTCAGAAATCTATTTAATCCTGTACAACTAGTAGTTGGCCCAAAAAAAAATTTTACGCGAGAATCTACCCCTCTCCCCAGAGGATGTGTCTATTCGACATTCCTTCGTTATTTGACGAGTCGAAGAAGCAATACGAAGCCGTCCAATATCATATAAAACATATACCTTCCCTGTTTATTTTCTGAATTGCTTTCCAATCACATTGATCAAACTTTCAACCGATAACTTATCTTTCTGCATTACATTTACAAATTACCGACCGAAATTCGGTATCAGTTCGTCGATAACAAAAAGTCGCAAGTACCTCCGATAAAAATTTCCCTAGGAAAATTAAAAAGATATTGCTCTTGTTAAAGATTTTGTTCGTCGTGTTTAGAATTAAAGAAAGGACGTTTATGTGTTACAGAAGCCTTCAAAAAGATGCTGAAATGGGGAAAAGAGTTAGGTGATATGTATTTGGTTTGGGTAGGCATGCGACCGTTTATCTTCCTCTACAAAGCAGAAGCGATACAGCCACTGCTAAGCAGTAGTGTTCACATCGATAAAAGTTTGGAGTATGGATACTTGCGACCTTGGCTTGGTTCCGGTTTGGTAACAAGCACTGGTGAGTACTAAAAGGAACCATTAATACGATCCGTAAGTTTCTATCTCGCGTCCATTTAATCCTGCTTCGCTCCTCTGGTCATTTCTCGTCCAATCGTATTTTGCTAATGTCAAAAAATATTTTCAATTTAGACTCAAGAAAAATTGGTCGAAAGACCAGGCCAGATAATAATTAGCGATTCAACTGTCGAAAAAACAGTATTCCGCATCTAGTCGAGTACCATAGCACGTTAAACTTTTGCAAGAATGAAAAAACTCGCACATGTCGAACCTACCCACGCCCAAAGGTTCACGCGAAGAAGAAACGATACGATCGAAAGCGATGAAAAAAAGTTCTACAGGTAGATCGAATCAGCCCGATCTACTTGGCCGGCCACTAATTTCTGGAGGCTACATTTAACCGTTGCATGCCAGCATTTTTTCGGTTGAGAAATTTCAGCAGATTGCCAGCCAGACAACCAGTAGCAAAAATTTGTGTGACGAACGAACTCGAGTCGAGTTCTTTATAACGTTCTACTGTCTGAATATTTTTTATATTCTACGGTACCTCGAACAAAATATTCCTCGGAATTTTTAACCTGCACTCAAAGCGAAATTGCGTGAACGCGAAGAATTGATTAGGTCGAAGAAACGTTGAATGACATAACAGCTCTTTTTTAATCAAATTCGTGTTTTCAAACTCACAAAAATGAATTAAGAATTTAGATTCCGAGAATAGAATTTTATCTTGTGATCAATTAAAAAAAAATCGATTAAATATGCACGTATGAAAACTTTGTGCACTAAAACGATAATATCGCAGTCCACGATGTACGGTCGGTAAGGAAGTAATTCTTGAAGAAAAACATCGATGTTTTACAATGGCTAGCAAGGTCAACTGACCTAAATATAATAGAAAATTATTGGGATATGCTCGCAAGAAGACTTTACAAAAATGGACGGCAATTTCAGAATATAAATAATTTGAAGAACTGCATTGTCCACAAATGAGAAAAAATAGGTCAAAATGAAATCGAAATACTATTTAAATCGTTACAAATCAGAATGATAGCAAAATCAAAATGATAGAAAATTCTTACCATATTTGTAAAAAAATATTTGTTTCCGCCTCAAAACTATAAAAAGCTAAGTTAACTTGTTAAGTTAATGAAATATATCTCTGTATTTTTGTTTGTTATTCAATAAAATTTTCCAGATTTATGCTACCTGCTATCTTTTTGTCCGGGAGTACACCATTAACCATTTTCTCATTATGACTCTTAATTTAAACCCCTTTGATTCATTTCTTTAACCTTTCACAAGAATAACCGAGAGAAAAAGAATGAAAAATTAAACGTAATAAATCGTCCACCATGTTCTAGGTGAGAAATGGCATTTTCGCAGGAAATTGCTAACACCAACCTTCCACAGTGGTCTTCTGGAAGTATACTTGAAGACGGCAATCAGAGAAGCCCAAATATTAATCTCGTGCCTAAGTCAGGAAGTCGATAAACCAGAATTCGACATTGTTCCTTATGCCAAACGAGCGACGTTGGATATAATATGCGGTAAGACTACTCAATATTGCGTATCGTCGCTCTAGTTCTTGACTATGAAAATTGACTTTAAAGTTTATGGGAGTACATTTCATAATACATACAATACCGTGAATAATTATAAACTCAACCTCATTTTTTGATTTTTCATAATATCAAAACAAAAATTAGCAAAATCGTATATGTATAATTCCATATTATAATATAAATATAAATATTATCTTTCTGTCATATAACATCTCCTGATATCCTCTAGCGTTCAATTTACTCTTTACAAAAACAATTTTACTTAACATATCCAGACGTGATATGTGATTTCACGGAAACATTGAAGGAATAATGCAGAAAATGTGTTTGAGTCTATAATTATTCACAGCACTGTATATATATCAAGCGCGATATTTTCAAATAGAGCGAAGGAGAAACGCAAATCGATTGTGCGTATTGTCGCATGATCACGGATCTGCATTCCAAAGTGCATATGATGCAATCAGTATTGATCGCCATCACGGATGGCTATTTCCACCGGTAATTTTTCATAGCGATCGAATAATTATTCGTACAAAACATACTATACAAAATTTATAGAGTTATTCCTAGAATAAATTAGTTTGTAAATTTCGCTGATTTAACAACGCTTATTATCATGTATAAGTAGACATTAAAATATTACATACGGGTGGAAAATTCATTACGCACAATTAGAAACAGCGACTGTGTTATGAAACTGCGAACGACAGTGAGAAAACACGACGCTTCGTTCTCGGTAGTCAGGAATGTCGACGAGTTTTCTTATCATCCTTCAATTTCAAGCCAACCATGATAATGGTCCTGTCAGAGTTTGAAGTTTTCAATTGTCTCTTCTTGCTCCTCATTTTTCGATCATTCTTATGACGAAGCAACGCAGTGTATTTATGATCCAACTTCTTTTTACCGCGCCTTACGTAACTTCTGTAATAACAAGATTTATTTTTACATCAGATACGCAACGTGAATAATTCAGTTAACTTATACGCCTCCCTTACACGCAATCATTTGAATTAACTACGTTATTTTTAGAATTGTATGTATTGTTTCAAAGCGCAAGACTAATCACGACTTTTTAATCATACGTCGGAAAAGAAAAAAGTAAATACCTACAGCAAACATTGTTTACTTCCAAATAAATTATTAGAAAACGTAAATGTATATGTGTCATTTTATTCAACTCTTCCTTATCAAGGGAAGTATACTATTTACTAATATAAAAAAGAGCCCAATGCATCATAAAATAGTAAAGAAGAATTTTGTAGCTTCTGCTAAAAGCAGATAAAATAGTTTGTAATGCCTTACGGTGACTACCCTGCATAGTAATACTGTACTTTTTTAATGAATAAGTATGGTTTTGTCCTCCTCTTCATACTACTCATTAATATTCATATATGACATTATTTTATTACTGCCAGGTAATTAAGAAAGACTTATCGCTATTTTTATGGACATAAAGAAAGATGCAAAAAATGCGGAGGAAAAGCCGCTAGATTCATAATAATTGCGCTTATACGCGTTATTTATTATTTATCAAAGATGGTAATACTATACGAAAAAATTAGAAAATTTCAGTTTCGTTATTACCGTGACTTTTCATTATGCAATTTTGATTTTCTTTTGCTCGACACTTTCGATCTCCGCTTCTTTTTTGGTTTCGATAATTCAATTATACGCTGAGTGGCTAGCAAAAAAATTCAAATTACCAGTTATTTAACAATAAACGTATCTCACAGTAGCAAATTGAACGATTAGAATCGAATAGTGAATTTAATAACCTGTCTAACTTAAGTCAACCGTTATTATCATTAATTTGGTACAGTTATTTCATCGGCAAAAATGTCCCAAACTACCAGAAATAACAGGAAGCAATCAGAGTTTTTAAAGAGCAACACGAAAGCGATACAAAACGGCGGAAACAATAAGCTTGTAATTCGTTAAAAATTATATCGACGAGAAGCGCGTTAAAGAAAAGGATACCAACCGACGGCCGTGAGAGCACCAGGCGCGACGTATCCAATTGGTTTAGGGGGATACTGATAAGGAATCCGTGGCTTAGAAAGCTCAATAATACGTGACGATGCTTTCGGAATCTGTACTGAATTCGGCCGTGTCTGAGTCAGCTTTTCTTCAATGGTTCGAACGCGTGGTTGGGCTAACTGATTAGTGCGATCTGTTATTTCGTATAGAAGTGCCGATGCTTTTACCTGATGCAGAAAAGGAATCGACATAAAAGTAGATCGACGCTTCGCGATGGTTCAAGTAATAGGAGTTCGGCTAAAGTTCGGTTAATCAGGCGTTACTAAAATTTCTTTAGTGGAAAATGAAATTCATATAAGCGGTGTCTCGCTATGAATCATATTTTTCAATGTAGATATGGTTTTAGATGTCATGATCGATCGTTTATGATGTCGTGATCGAAGTCGTACACCTACGTGACTAGATTCCAAGACGATGTCATTGTAGGCCTTAGTCGTCTTCGATTTTGCAATTTTCGATGAAACATTCAACGCATTGCGTTTCGCTGTCTGTTTCCGAGAAATGTCTTCAGGCAGATGATCGGACGCCGAAACTGACTTGTCATTGTTCGGCTTTTCTTGTGATTTTGTGAATTTGCTCACGAATGTCTTGCTAAAGCAACTAAACGATTCGTCCGATCCCCAGTGACGAGTAGTGAGCAACATAGCCATTTCCTCTTGATAACATGTGTATGACACTTAAAAAATTTTGTACATCGTAAAAAACTTCCGTTTTTATTTATCGATTCTTCTCCTCGTGTGGCATCTTATGCACAGGGCATCTTTCAAACAACGAAGAATCAAACGTTTCCATTGCCTCCTTCAACTATAATCGAATTTTGTTAACCTTGATTCGTCTCTTGTATCAATTTGATACCATACGATAAATATAAAAAAGTAATATACTCTACATATCTCTGTACTACGTGTAAACTATACGAATGATCATACAGGAAGCATAAATATTTTATCTTCCAGTTACTTTTGTCTTTTACCATTGTAACACACAAGTTGAAGTTAACTAGATTAGAATAATTTCATCAATTTAAACAATAGGCTTTTACTGCGCTCTTTCTTATTGTTAGACAGGTTGGTATACTGGGAATCAATTTAAACAAATCTCCATTCACGACTATGGTCACCTTAGTCAAAGGGATGAATTGTGAAAAACTTCGCGAAGCTTCGATAGTCTACGCGCGGTGCTCTCGATTCTTACCAATTAGTCTGAATCCCTACATTACGTACTTTGTTCCGTGCAACCAGCATCGTACAACTAATTCTCACGAATGATCTTAAACGTAATATCCGCCCTAACTCCGAATGTTTGTACAAACAAATTGTAAATTACCCCGAGAAAAATATAAAAAAAAGAAACAAAAATATTTAGGAAAATTTTTTACATCTTTGTTTTCTAACATTACAGATAGTTCCATGGGATGTAACATTAATGCGCAAAAAAATTTTGAAAACGAATATGTGCTGGCTGTGAACACGTAAGAGTATTTTCTACTAAATGCACATTAGAGCAAATGTCAAGTATTTATACATATACCTCTTCCAGATTAGCTTCCATCTCGCAAAGAAGATTTCTAAATGTGTGGATGGCTTTTGACCCGATCTTTAAGCTAACAAACTGGGGTAAAGAGTACGATCGGGCACTTCGTGTTACTCATGGATTCATTAACAAAGTAAATACATATAATTTTTCCTTCTACTTTTCTCTTGGCTCTTTCTAGCCATTATCTGCTTGATCCACACATATGAGGATTAAATTGAACTTCGAAAAATTAGTTTCACTAGCAATACGACGACAATTTTAGAAATCAATAATTTTGCGTCCCCTAAAGTAATGTACTCCTGAAAAATACTAATCTCTGTACGATATTTATATCACTATCGTTTATGAAATTTCTCTTACTCGGAAAATTCGACAAGACCTTTACCATCCATAATATAAACGCACAGTAGAAAATAACTTGTTAATTAACTTAACTTTATCTAAATTTTAAATCCAATATGCTTAGATAATCGCGGAAAGAAAAGCCGAGTGGAAAGCCAAAAAGAACGAGAATTGCCATGAACGGTCTCATAAACGTCAAGCTCTGTTAGACTTATTGCTGGAATTATCGAAAGATGGAGAAGTACTTAGTGACGTTGATATCCGTGATGAGGTGAATACGTTTATGTTCGCGGGTCACGATACCACTGCGACCAGCATATCCTGGTTCCTGTATGCATTAGGAAGACATCCTCAGTACCAGGTAATTTTACACCGCATACTTCTACATGTCCTGCAACCGATGATACGATTAGAGAAGAGATGGTTTTACATGATAAAACAAGTTGACAATATAGAGCAAAACTTTTTCACATATGGCTTACCAAGAAAATTACTTTACATATTTATTGATTTCGTTGTAGATTAATAATCTCTACTTATGTATATGTTTGTTGTACTAAATAATGAAAACACTTGGATGGATAAATTTAATACGTATATCGAAATTATGTATTGTTATATATAATTGGTTTTCAATAAAGTGTGTAAAATGCTCACGACAATTTCTAAATAACGAAATTTACAATGTATAAATATCTTGTTTTTCTCTATATTTTCCCGATGTGTAATATATATAAATATAATTAAATGTTCCCTAATTATTAAATTGCTATGTACCTTTGTCACCTCTCACTATAGGAAAAAATTCTTGAAGAATACTACGAGGTAGCAAAAGCGGAAAAATTATCTCTAGACATACTAAGCAAATTAACGTGGTTAGAAGCGTGCATAAAAGAATCTTGGAGAATTTACCCAGTAGCACCACTCATCGCAAGACAAATTTATCACCCTATTACTATTTGTAAGTATAAATGTACACAAAAATATGTTTTCAGTGATAGAAAATTTGAATAAAGTAATTCGTTTCTAGTGGGACATGAAATTCCAGTAGGATCGACGGTTCTGGTAAATTCGTTCCTTCTTCATCGGGATACTCGATACTTTCCAGAGCCAGATACTTATCGACCAGAACGATTTCTTCCCAATGGACCAAAATATCCTTCTTATGCTTTCATTCCCTTCAGTGCTGGCTCTCGTAATTGTATAGGGTGGAAATATGCCACGATGATCGTCAAAGTTCTTATTTTGCATATATTGCAAAATTTCCAAGTCAAGTCCTTAGATACAGAGGATCAACTTCGTTTCACCAGTGAATTGGTATTACACAATGCTAATGGACTTCGTTTAAAAATTACACCACGAAAATAGGGAAGTCTTGTTTAATTTTATTGCAGCAATATATACGACTGAGTGAAATGAAAAGATCGAAATAATATATATATATATTATTATAGTGAAATGGAAAGATCGAAATAATATATAATAATTATATATTATTTCGATCTTTTCATTTCACTATAATGATATATATATATATATATATATACATACTTTGAACTGTAAGCAAAAGGCTGATTTTTTCTGCATATCAATGTTAGAGAGACCATATTTTGTGATAACAATAATGATGTTAATTTATGTTATATTCTTATGTTTATCACGACAGTCATTCGTATTTATTTAAGAGCAAAAAAATATCATAAGAAATTAGTTTGATAGAATTTGTATAATGATCAGTAGGAAATATCTATCTGTAAATTACATAAACATTAAGCATTGACTGTATATTGTACAAATCGTATTACATTGTTGTGGAGCTTAAGAGTCATAATAATCAAAGTTTTTGTATTCCTTTTATACAATTATTTTATGTCTTTCAGATGTTGCCACGTTAAGTTATTACAATTGTATCTCTAATTTTATATGTTAACAGCCATTTGCGTAACTGATAAAAATTTTGTTATTAGTAAGTAGGTTTCTCGCTGCAATTATATCTATTTTGAAGTTCTAACTCGTTGAGAAGGACTTGTGTAATATATGTATGTAAGGCTACTTTAAGTTTAGTCGATGTTTATCTATAATGGCAAAGGATGCAAAATGCTAGGACATTGTATTAGTGCACTGACTAATGACTAGGAAACTGTTGGTTATCTCGAAAGTGATATTAAATTTCGTGTATATTTTCTTATTAGATAGCTATAATACTTCGTTATTAAGTACTTTGCAATTATAATTATAATCATAATTATAAAAGCATAATTGTAATATTGTGATATTTTATAATATCTTTAGTTTATAAGATGAAAATATGATAGGATATTATACATTTTTATTTAATAAATAAAGCACCATGTGTAACGACAAAAAATTTTGATTCCTTACAGTGCAATAGCCAAACTATAGATAACATTATCAAGTAGTAAGTTCTCGTTTAAAATTATTGTTCCATACCTATGTCCATAATTAGTCCATGTTCGATGTTCATTGAATCGACATTCTATAATCCGGCTCTTGACAGATGTTTTAGCAACGAACACCAGCAACGTATCCTATTAAGAAAATAGAATATACGTGTAATATTTCACACACTGTTAATTATTCCAAGATATTTTCTTAGATTTCCTTTCAGACATTCTTAAAATATCATAAAAATCCATCATAAATCATTTAGCAAGTTGTAGAAGTTATATGTTAGCAGCCTAAAATAAAAATGGAATACATTAGATAAACATTCAAATATGTACGTATACATACATATATATATTTTATACACAGTAACATATGTTTTTATTTCTTGTTATACCAATTCATCAAGATCAATATCTGAGATATCCAGAGAAAAAACTGATTCCTTATACAAATTAGTTTCAACATCAGCTATATCCTCTGTTTTATTAGACTCTTTGGTATCGATATCGATATCCTCATTGACCTGCATATTATCTTGCTGCTTCGTCTCACTTCTAAATAAAATATATCATTTAAAATATATTACTATATTTTTATTGCTGCAAACAATGAAAGCTTTAATATATGTGTAGATAATGCTTATATATATACTTCTCTTTTTTTGGGTTTATACTCTCTAATCGAAATAGCTCCGCAATTTTCTGCAGATGGCATTTACTTCTTTTTTTTATCGATGGTATTTCAAAAATTTCTTTTAAATAATTTTCCACAGGCGGTAATGGTTTATCTGGATTAATAGCACGATACGATAACATATCCCATCTATGTTGTACACCAGGATTTGGCATGCATCCTGGTAAAAAACACTGACACCCATCGATCTGACTATCATTTCTGTTTAATGTAATGTAAATGTGTAATCATATAGAAGATGGTTAATTATATACACCAAAATGCTAGTATCCTTACTCTGTATCCGTTAACATCAGAGAATCTATTAAACTATCTATAGCTTCATTTTGTGGAGTATTTAACTGTTTAATTGTGGACTTCATGGATCTTGTTTCCATGATCCTTCGATCTTCTGCAAATGCTAATTGTATTTCTATCAAGCACTGTATACAAATATAAACAACACGTTAAACAATATATCAGAAGATAATATAATATAATAAAAACACATATTTTACAATACCCATGGTTCATCAGGAATATCAATACAAGGAAACAATGCAACCATTCTAGGCACGCTACCTTTTTTATAAATTTTTCTCACAATAGCAACTGAATTTGTTTGATGCATTGCTTGCACTAAACTATAAAACGGTTTCACTACATTCTAAAAAATCAAGATAGATATGTAGCTTAATTCGATATAAGTAAAATAAGTATAATAAGTAAAATATTAAGACATACATTTGCATTACTATTGGGTAAAATAACAGAACTGGAACTTTTGTAAAAATACTCCAAATCAACATTATTTCTGTCTGTAAACCCGTAAATTCGATAACTTCTTTCAGTGTCTTTATGTCTCATATTCCTCTCTAAACCCTCTACATTTACAATAAAATAATATACTAATGATAATATACTGATTATAATACTTATAGTAATAAAAATAAATTAATATATACCAGGTACTGAAATAAAAACTCCTCCATATTTGTATCCCTTTTGAATGTTATCTGCTGTATAAGGAACCCTCTGTCTATCTAAGTATTTTGTTTCTGATCGGAGCTTTTGATTACCTTTGGCTTTTTTCCATGGTGGAAATCTTGTTGTTCTTATCTAATAGAAACAGCAATATTAAACTACAACAGTCATAATATAACATAATACACATAAATAATGTCTTGCTCCACAATTTCTCCTTACCTTAGCATAAGAAACAACTGGTATTTTTTTATCAAGTAACTCTAAGCTATAATAAGATGGAAATGGTTTTAATGGTATTGGTGTATAAAATTTCATATCTGATATGGCATTATCAAACGTTATATGGTGACCATTAATCTAGTAAATAAAATAGATTAAATAATGATCCACAGTAACATATTATAAAAATAGATAGTTTAACAGATAAAACCTTTTCATTGACATCATTAAGAAGGTTTTCACTGAGTGTAGGAGTAGGTGATGTAGTTGATTCTGATCTGAAAATAATAAAATTATAAAATTAAATTATATAAAATAATTTATATAACAAAATTAAAATAGATGTTTACAGTGTGATTAATATAATTTTGTTTGTTGAAAGCTGATCTGCAATTTTGTCTGCTTGAAATTGTGAAATAATATCTGGATCTTCGTTAAAATCAGACATCAAAACGATTTTCCTCGTAGAAGGAAGAAAACTAAAATAAGAAATATATTGTAATTGATATTATAATACAAATTGGAATATTTCCATTTTTACTACTTCCACGGGTACAATCATAATATATTTAAACATACGTGTTTTCTTTCATAAATAATACTGCAGCCTCAAGTGCTTCAATCCAATTAGAACAATGGTTTGTACCTTTTAAAGCCATACATTTTTTTACAAGATCCCATTTTGGAATCTGAAAATCTGTAAATTCTTCTACATATTCTGTACCCAAACGATTTTTTGTAACATCGGAACCCATTAACATTATTGCAACTTCATCTTTTGGTGTGAAGAAAATCTAAAAAATACCAAATATTAATAATTGAAAATAAATAACATTAAGTTAAAATTTTATAATACCATTTTCTGAATTTTTCGCTTGGCAATATGTTTTGCTTTCTCCAATAAGGAATGATTATTTTCTATATTTGGATTTGTTATTCCAATATTTATTAATAGTACTAATGATTCCTGAAAATAACATTAACATGTTTCTTGTATTATATTATGTGAATGGCTCAATTATATTGATATTCGACCATAAGTTTAAAAATGCATAAATTTAAAAGAAATGAATTAATAAAATATATTTTTAAAGGTGATAAAATATAACCTTTCGTGCTTTCGGTGGCATTTTACACAATTGGAATTAATATATGCTGGAATTAATATATAATATATGCTGCTCTCAACAATATTTGTGTTTAAAAATCCTAAAAAGGAAAAAAATTATAGTTAATTACAAAATGAAGATTAATTACTATTCGGGGAAAAAATGTTCTAATCACTGTTGCGGAAAAAGGACGTATATTTTTAACAACTATTGTGGAAACATATAAATTATCTTGATAAGAAATTTCTTTTATGCGTTATATCATATTAGAAAACTTGAACCAATTAATTGTATACAATAAAATCTATATTTTAGTTTCGATATCTTTAATAGCTGGACAAAACAAAATAAGTCAGACCTGTTAGTCTTTAGCAGTGTCGAAAGCACTTATAATATTTAATGGTGATTAAAATGCTGATACAAAATGGCGATTAATAAATGATTAAATAAAATGCAAATATGTAAAAGTGTAGAAATGATGATAACGTCGAGATAAAAGTACTATATAGTAATGATGGGATAAAGTAACGATACTCGTTTCACAAATTTCAACAGTAAAATGTCATCCCGCGCTATGCGACTTTTGTAAATTGCGAGTGGTGGGGACTTTGCAATATTTTACACCAATAGGAATGCTCGATTTGACTTTACAATATTTTGCACCAATAAGAGCGTCTATTTCTACATATGAGCGCGCGCTAATTTAGTTCATCCAAATACTTAAATTGGTAAGATTGATGAATAGAAAATATATTTAAGGCAATGTTCATTAACAATTATGAATAAAATTATGTTCTTAATGAAATGTTTTTATATTTTATACGCGTATAGCTGCTATTATTCAATAAAATATGGTATTGGTAAAAATACGATTACGATATATTATTTCATTATTCGTACTGTTATTAATAAATATATTTCAATAATTCAAAAATATTCACAAATAGAAAAAGATGGAAAAATGTCCTATCCTATCTTTTAAGAGTCTCTGTTAAGAACAAATGTCATTCTTTAAAAACTAGTAATTAACAATTTAAACTAATTATAGTTAAACATCATACTTATAAATAGATAATATAACACACACAATATTATACATTAATATATTTCTATAATAATTATTTCGCTCTTTATGCTAGCTTCAAATATCAGTTTTTTATACAGTCTCTGTGTTCTGTTTTTACAGTCTTTTTCAACATGATTTTTATTTAACACAGTTTAGAAAAAGCGGCCGATTCTCTTTTTAACTTTTGAATCCTTTCGAATTTATATTTTTGAATTTCAACCTTCGGATTTCAATACCTTAATATTGTCTATACCTAAGAAGAGCTTTGGTAATGCAACAAGAGTTGTCGTCACTATATTCCAGTAGAAAACAATTTTATTTATTAAAAAAAATGAAATAAAATTTCTTGCTGTACATAGATTTGAACATTTATTGCGTAAGACGTATCTTATATAAGATACATAACTTACATTAGGCTATTAAGTTATAGTATGTATGGAGACTGTTAGAGGCTACAGTCGCATTAGTTGTATACGACCATGAAATAAATAAAGTCCTTCATATATACTGACAGTGCATTCTTTATTTTCTTCTATATATATAGAGAAAATTATGTGACGTTTAAATGATACGCGAGATTATTATGTATCGTGACTTACTGATAACTCAACCAGTTATTAGACAACACGTTTCACATAATTTTGTGGTAGAATAGTAATACTTCTGATAATACGAAGGAGCGCCCTATCGCCTCATGGTTTTAGGTTAAACCCTGTGATATTTATTAAACAATAAAATATGCGTGCAACTATTGCGATATTGTGCGTGTTCCTCGGTTGTTGTAGCAACGTCGTTTTCCTGGAACTTCTTGTTAAGTTAGTATTGCATTTTGTTTTTCAGATATATTCTATACATTATCTTTATATACTACTCTCAAAGTTATTAACATAACAACCTGCATCTTTTATAACGATATAACTTAGAATTGTGAAATACTAAATCAAACATTACCTATTATCGACAAAATAAAAATAATTATTTTTTCAGGGATGATCCAGGCAGTGGAAATCTTATTACATTTGCACAGTTCCTTTTTATATCGATAGAAGGATTTTTATTTACTTCAAAATGTGGGACTATAAAACCCAATATAGGAATAAAAGATTACTTTATATTAGTAACAATGTTTTTTGTTGCAAATGTTTGTAATAATTATGCATTTGATTTTAATATACCCATGCCATTACATATGATATTCAGAGCTGTAAGTATTTAAATATGAAGTATATTACAAAATTTGAATTCCCAAATAATTATTGTTTATATTCAATAATTTTAGGGTTCTCTAATAGCTAATATGATTATGGGTATCATTATTTTAAAGAAGAGATATGTTTTTAGTAAATATTTGTCAGTATTTATGATAACTCTTGGAATTGCTATTTGTACTATTGTTAGCGGCAAAGAAATTAAATCTTTGCAAGCCAAGAATGTAGAACAAGTACCTACAACACCATGGGATGATTTGTTTTGGTGGATATTAGGTATATCATTATTGACAATTGCACTATTTGTATCTGCAAGAATGGGTATCTATCAAGAAGTATTGCATAAAAAGTATGGAAAAAATCCAAGAGAAGCTTTATATTACACGGTATAATTTTCTATCTCATTTACAAATTTATAGAATATGTTCAGTTTAAATATACATACACCATTATGTCTGTAAACATTAAAAATATGGAAAAGGTCTTCATATTAGAATTGTTTCATTTAATAGAGAAACTTGATTAATTTGGATTCTCTTCAAAAGCGTTTATATAGAGTGTATACATTTAAACTGAATATAATATGTAGTAAATAATATAAATTATATATATATATAATTAAATATCTGATTTCAGCATTTGCTACCTTTACCATTTTTTTTAACATTGGCTCCTAATATCTGGGATCATTTTATGTATGCTCTAGCATCAGATCCAATAAAGATATCAATTATTAATCTACAAATGCCAAAATTAATTCTATATCTTATGGGAAATGTTCTCACACAGTATCCTTTCACTAATATTTAGATATGTGATTAATATACACAATCAAATTTTAATAATTTATAATCCTTAACAATAATCTTAGATATGTGTGCATTAGTTCCGTTTTTACATTAACAGCAGAATGTACATCACTCACAGTGACTTTAGTCATAACATTACGAAAATTTTTATCTCTAATCTTTTCTATAATATATTTTAAAAATCCTTTCACACTGTACCACTGGATTGGTACAATTTTAGTCTTTCTAGGAACAGTAATATTTACAGAATTATTACCGAAAATTACAGAAAGTCTGCGATCTACGGAAAAGATTAAAAAAGCCCAATAATAAATAAAATTGTTAGATATTGTTATATGTTGTTTGATGTAACTGTACAAAGCAAAGCAAACATGGTAGATGATATAATAACGAATAAAATGCCTTATGAATGAATGTAATAATTGTAACAATAAGAAAACAGAAAAAGGATCATTTTTGTTTTTTTCAAGTTACATCTATTAGAACTAAGAAATAAAGACGATTTTTCTCTATTTTCTTGTGAAATCTATTTGTCTATAACGTATATCATGGAAAACATAATAAGTACATACATTATTTTCCCCTAATTGCGTATTTTTATTTTACATAAACAAAATTTTTTATGAATAAACAATTTATATGGATATCTAGATAATCTTATCTATTTTATCTTAGATATCTTATCTAGATAAGATTTATGTAGATAAACATATATATATATATATATATTAAAGAACTATTTATATATATATATATTAAAGAACTATTTATATATATATATAAATAGTTCTTTAATAATTTCGGTACCTTATATGAATATGATTTATTTCGTAAAATCAATAAGCTTTTAAATTTGTGACATTACACAAGAATGTTTTCATGGGATATAAAATATTTTAAGTTTAAACACAATGTTATTTTGACGGTACAAGTATATTTTTGTTTTATAAGATATACCTTATACGATACATACATCATTTCTATTTAGCAACAATTTATATTCAATATTAGGATTCGTTACGAATGTTTATATATCATCATATATTTGCCAGTAAAAGCTCGTTCATCACAAAGTTGTCTCAAAAACGAAGGAGGAAATGATTACATAATAATGATCTGAAAATAAATTTTATGTTTGCTATAAATCTAATTATTTTACAAGAGGTACTACATTTAGTGCCTTCAATTTAATATTAATAAAGTTGAAAATTATATAAATATTATACAGAGAAATATTACTTCGGAGTAAACTATCCATATTCGAGTTAAACATATTTTTTAAAAACAAATACACAATTTCTGTATAAATGTACAAAAAGGTAAGTAAATAACATTAAAATTGAAAAGACTGAACTGACATACTTTTATATGACTAAAATATGAGAAATGAATTGCTGCTTTGTAATATTTTACATTTTTTTTTTACACAAAGTTAATACGATACTCAATTCTAATTTAATTCACATACATATATGTAATAAAGATTAGTAACACTTGAAATTGGAATTTCATCTAATATCTAACTATTTTTAAATTGGTCAACGTATATGAAAAATTTGAGATTAATTTCTCCCTGTTTTACATTAAAATTTTGGAACCTGAGTGAAAGACGTTTTCTTATAACTTAGTGTTTATACATTTAACCTTAAGAATAACCTTGTTTTCTCTATCAAAACATCTTAAAGGGAAAATTATCACGTATAAATCATGCAATTAACATTATTGTAATGTACATTATCGAGTGATATCTAACTAATATCCAACAAAAGAAACTTCTTGCAAAACTATTATTAAAAGTTGACAACAATTATTAGCATACATCACATAATTATTTACGTTACAAGATTCGTTTTATAAATAATTCTCATCGTAGTTTCGTCGAATTTTATAAATACTATTTTGTAATTGTAGAATAATTGTTATATTATGTTCAAGGATCTTTTGTACTATCTCTATGGATTAAAATGGAACGGCTTCGGGTTTTTCGACAACTTTAAAAATATTCGACAATTCGTCGACTAATGTTTCGTATCGATAGGCCACCCGAATATCCGGTACATTCGTTCGCGTAATATCATTACCGGCCACACCCTCTTTTGTATAATTTGGCCCAAGCCAGTATTGTTTACTCTATAAAGTAAGACAAAATGGTTATATGGTGTTAATTTGTTTACCTTACGAGTAGCCCTAGAACGCATACCTTGTGTGGAAAACCACTCATAAGCACGGAATTACGCGCTAGTTCACACATATCGCACGAACTAAGCTTCCATACTTGTGCAGCAATACTGTACTCTTCCATCAACGGTTCCTATAAAAAGATATTATTATTAACTTAGATAACGTAAATAAAAGAGGCGTAAAAGAGAGATATTTCGAACGAATAAACGGACAATTTTTACATCACGCTGACCTTGGTAAAGTGAAATTGAAGAGGATCATCCGTGGAAAGACTTACACACAATCCTCTTGCTAAATATTCGGGTAATGGATTACGATGATAATTTAAGAAAAGAGAATTATTACTAAGAGGCGACATTGCAATCCCAATTTGTGCTAAATAATATAGATACTGTAGTACTGGCACTTTTCGAAGTAAAAGACCATGAGAGATATTTTCTGCCATCATATAACCGCAAACAAGATGCTGAATGGGACCAGCTTCGCCACAATGAGGTCTGAGGACGAAAGTGTTTAAACCTTGTTCCCTAATAAATAATATACTCTACATCAAATGTTTGTCTAATCAGAGAGCTAACGCGAATTACTAGTCGCAGAAAGTGTATACGTACGCTCTAAAATGATTCAAGACGGTCATGTTGGCATAAGTGTAGTATTGATAATATCCATAAGGAGGATTTTCAACATCATCCCATTCTGCGGGTGGACAGACATCTTTATCGAATAAAGGATTTTCAGGTTTGCTCTCGTCATCAACTGAATCAAATCCTATTACCTATAACGATGATAGTATCGATGATTCTAAAATACCATACCAATTCCAAATATTATCAACGTTTATTGTTAAAAATCTGCTTACGTATTGGAGAAATTTATGTAGCTCTGGATGAGAATTAGCGTCATTGGTTACTTCAAAAAGGGGAAGAAAGATGTTGTTCATTATCTCTTGGAAATTTGTCAGCAATTTGTTCAATTTAAAAATGTCACTAAATGGAAACGGCAGATATTAGAACGATTTTAGCTGAAATATTAATTGAATATACGCTAAATAACTTACTAAAGCCGAGGAATCTGAATGAGCCAGCGTACATTGTCCGAATACACGTCACTTTGAATTGCCCATTTTGCTAATTTGTCCCACTCTTCTGGGCTTTTGCCGTAAATCGAAAGACGCAGTTCCGCATTTTGGTACTTGGATTCTTCGAGATCGCTGGCGACTTCCTTGATTATGCTTGCGAAAAATTTACCATTCAAATAGTTGTCCGTTTTTAGAAACACTTCACGCAGGCGACTTTCGCCGATTGGATTGTATTTGGCGTTGAATTTGTCGAACCTATGGAACGTGTTTCTATCCTGAAAGAAAAAGGAAAAGCCCGGGTAAATATTTTATTCTGAAATTTATCTTCCCATACGTATGATATATCAATGGAAACTTACCGCATGCACATCCAACATATCAACACTGAGATCGTAAGTCGTCAGATTCATCGATTGAAATACCTCCCGTAAAGTCATTGTTTCTTTGTTCTTGGAGTACGTGACGATTTCATCTGCGTGATTCTTCAAGGTTTTCTTAATAAATCTGAGTAGATGCTTTTGATTCATGCAAGATGCTGCATGAATATGGGTATCAACCTGAAGTTAATAGAACCAACATTTCAATCTACTTGAAAGTATATTATCTCTTCGGTATTCAAAACGTTCATAATGTAAATCCGTGATACAATCTGTTTGCTGCTAGTTGTAAGTTGTAAGTACACCCGGCTCTCCCATACTAACCTTTCTGATGTTATAGAAGTCCCTATGAGGGACTGCTTTTTGACTGGCAAGTTCTCTAAGCTCGTTCAGTAACACATGCAGTTGGAACTTTGACGAAAGATAACTCAGTCTTCTGTAGCAAAAAGATTTTAATGGACCATCGGCGATCATCGCGCAAAGAAGGTTCATGTCCCTGACAAAAGTGGCTAAGTCAGGATACGAGTAAGGGACTGGCTTCCCATTAGCTAAATCTTCCTCATTAGCGTACAAATTGAAGACACCGTTAACGGGAGCAATTATGTAATTCTTTGCCATAGGAAATTCACATTCCCACGGATCTCCTCGAGATGCAGGTGCGTGCACAGGATGATCTAATAGTAACATTGTTTAGGGAGGACAAGTATTAAAACATCATTCATCTCGAGTTACGATATGCAATTACTTGCAAGGTAATACAGTACTCCATTTACTCTTTGGGAAATTTCAACGTTTTTATACGCATCGATACATGGACAGAAAAGCAACTACGTGTGCTATGTAAGATGATATGATCTAACCCTGCTGCACGTCCTTTGGATCATTTCAGATCCAGTTCTGTCTTTCTATCGTTAGAGAGCATTTCTCAAATCCGAGGAAAATATTTAAACAATCATCATTCAGGTGCATGATTTCTCTTTTCGTTTGTACGATGAAATGTCTTTCTCCGTTGAAGTTGCTTGAAAGCGAGATTCAACGATCGCAGCAGGGTTAAAGCTGGTTCAGGCACGGCCAGTCAAGTGGCAAGTAACAAGTAAACAACAAACTACTAAATAATTTGCCCGTTCGTAAACGACCAGTGGTACGGTAAAACGATTCAGCCAAGTACATCCGAATTGTTAGATCTTCCGGCCAAGTAGGAGAACGGAACAGCATTTCTTTCACTAAATTTACCGGATGCGCCTCTTTAATGGAGTTCATTAGCAACTTGTCACGTTTACGCTAGAATCGCAACGCTTGCCAAACTTATCACCTGCTTCGTTCACGTTTGGACGAAATTTCTCTTGCGACGCACAATGGGACCGTACCGTATATACTATATTTACTGAAACTTGGCTCGTTTTAAATCAAACATAAATTGACTGAACTCGAATCAAAGCTCATTTAATTGCTCTTCAGCTTATGCTCTGTATTGGATTTCAGTTGGTACTTTTAATCCGGTCATCTATAAATTATCTGCAGCAATAAGCCTACATATCCAAGCCAAAAATCTTCTCTCATTTCCCTGTGGTAATAGCGTCAGTCGGTTAAAGCTGTTGTCAGCCAAACCTATCGTCGGTGAAATTTGGCGTCGCTGACAAATCCGATATAGGTAAACGGTAGTCGGTGACTTCAACGATAGCCTAAATTCCTTGTTACTCGCTTACTGTACTGGCCAATCTGTGTCTGAACCAGTGCTTGAAGTAGGTTTGAAACAAAGGATAAGAAGGATAATAAGGGAGGAGGACCTTTCAGAGGTGCGTCTTCGATCAGTGCATCGATGTATGCCTCGGATCAAACGTCCACGATTTCGCTTTCAACTTCTAACTGCAACTTCTTACCTTGAGAAACAATACGTTAAAGTAACCTTACGTCATGAACATTTAAGATGTCGAGAACATTACTTGACGTACAAGACGTACAAGGGAGATTCGACGAGAGAAAGATAGTCAGGCGTTAAGAAGGTAGTATTCTGCGAATTTGAAATAAATACCTGCGATGGCTTTACGATCATCGTGCTGAACTTCGTCGTCGCTGTTCACTGGCCTCTTATCGACGCTACGTAGAAATCGCGATGTTATAGAAGGGAAGCTCTGTTTAGAATTATTCATGTATTTCTCACGTATCGCCAGTGCCTGAACCAACATCTGCGACGCTTGTTGCAGATCTTCCAAGGGTACCTGCAAACGCACGATGTTTTAGTTAGGTTTTGCAACTTTATACAAACGGTATACACAGTCTCCAGAGTTACTTCCTTTCGCCTCCGTCTGCATTTCTTTAAAAAAGTGTCAGACATTTTATAGAAAATTATACACAGAGCGTACCATGTAACCGTGGTCAAGATCTTTTGGCTATTTCCGATGGTGTGAGAAAATCTGATGTTCCAAACAAAAGTCGATCGATGTCTCGTCAGCTACAAGTCGCCGTATAAAAAATTTCCAAAAAGTTGTTTTTTCGATAAGATACCTCGATGTTACCTTGACGTTTTTAAATGATACGGTATTTTTGGCTTCGTATCGCTGTAACCGATATCAGGACCAGTTCACCGACATACTGTATCGTATTCTTCACTCTCGAAATTTCGACTCGATATAAACGATAAATATACCAGCGGAGTCTCTTTACCATTATTTACCATTACCCAATATTTTCCAAGATTTTAACTTGAAATTTTAATTTCGAAGCGTAGCCAGCGAGATATCGCTAAAACGATTCATCAAACGTTCTCGACCGATTAAATAATTAATTAAACATAAATACGTGTATCGATTACGTGTGTATACATTATCAAAATCTTTTCTACGATTTCGTCGAGGTTCTACCGTGTATCTAAAAGTACACACTGCATCGTATCATCGTATATCGTTACTTTTACGAATTTCAATAAATCATGGATTCTTTTTATAACTGTCGTTGATATTCATTGTCACATCACCACCCTAATTTTTCCATTTTTATTTCGTTGGAACGTGAAATTGATGTTTAGATCGTTACGCATCGTACGATACGATCGTGTAGCGATTAAAAGAGCTTCTTATAAAATAATGGAACAGAGGTTTGGTTACGGAAGAGAGAAATCGCAACAGAGGTTTCCTACGTAAGGCAGCGCGCTCTTAGGGTTTCCTCTCGTAGAAATCTCAAAAAAGCATAATCTCCTACGTAACACAGATTTTACGCGTGGACTCGATCAATTTGTTCTATCCGTTACAACGCATGACAACGAAGTAACGATAATCGACAGCTACTCGTAAAAGCTCGACCACAATACGGCATAATCTAGCCAAGTTACGTTTACTCGAAATAGACGATGGAACATACGAATAGAAAGTAACGAATAAACGATTAATTTTATTTCAGGATAATTGTAATCGTTGCTTTTAGACTTTCACGATGATTGGACGACGTATTTGCGGTTCTTCCTGGTTCAGATCCGCGAAAAGTGGCGTGGAATGCTCGCGGAACGTTCAAACGAAGCACAACGTAGGACAACTGTACCTAATATGGGTCGGCACTTAATATGAAACGGCGCAATATCTCTATAACCGAGTAATTGACAAAATCAATCGGTAACAGTATTTCGTTGAAAGCAAAGCGTATTAATCTTTCTCCAGTTTCGCTTGGAAATCTGTCGTTGAACGCGTTTGATCGTTGCGTTTGAACGCGTTTGACAGTTTTGAAGGGAGGCGAGTTAGATAGCGAAACTTATCAGTTTTTCGGTGTCCGAAAGAAATTTACCGTTTTATCTATTTTCTTCTTAATGTAACTGTTATTTCGCCGACCAAAGACACATGCATCTAATATCAGGTTGTCGCACAAGTTGCTTTCGTTTTCTAAAAAAATAACACAGGTGTTCTATTAATAAGGACACGGTTGAAAACTGGAAGAACCAAAAGTACGTCCAACGATCGTAACTTTGTCATTTTTACGGGAGTTACGAATACTACCAACGTTCTCAGACGACTACTGTGTGATTCGGTCTTAACGTACCCCGGAAGTATCTTCGCCGGATATGGAGACCCTCTGGAAGTGTGGCACGAAGTCATTTTCCTCGAGATTGAAGATATGATCGACGTCGTCAGGAACACCGGGGCCGAGCGATGGTTCATAATGGCTACGACGTTCCTCTAAATCCTTGGCAGCTCTGTAAGAATACTCTAAACATGATTTTTTCACTCGTGCAAACGTAGAAGCCTGAATCGCGATCGAACAAGTGTCGACAGTTTTTACGAGATACGACACATACTGATATATATTAGCTATATTGGCTAATCTGTGAAAAATCGATAGAAAATAACGAGTACATAAAAAACTTTATACAGAGATCAAGTTATTTGCATCGGGTTATCGTTTAAGGATCCACGAACGAGCTACAGGTGCTGCTACGTTGTAAACAAAAAGTTGATCGCATTCTTGCAGGGATCACTGAATTTTTCGATGCTCGCTAAATTTCATGGAAACGTACGTTTTCAACCTCGTATTACCATACCAAATATTACGAAAAGGCAGAACACTTTTTACGAAATCGGAATCAGGCACGCCAGCAAACAACCTTTGCCTGCCTCGGTCTTAATAAAATTCGTTGCTTTGCCTTTGAATCAGCGATTCAACAAGTTGCACTAAACTTTGACACGTAGTTTTGCTCATCTCGTACAATGTATGAAATACGTGGTCGTCCTCCGACGATTCTCTCGCAGCGACAAACAGTCGACGATTAACAGCGTGGATGAAAATTCACGCGCGTCTTGTGACAAATGCTCAAACTTGATCCTCCGAAAGGAAATCGAAGCCACCAACGAAATTTCGTTGTTTTCAATTTTCGTCTTGTTTTCGGCTATAGAATCTGTCTGGCTCCATTCGTACCACGAATTACGAACCCTGTACAGTTCCATAAATTGAATCGATCCAGTGACAAACCATTAGCGTACTTCTAACGAGACAAATTGGAACTTTAAGCTACGTTTAAATGGTTGCTGGCTAGCCTACGTCATTCGAACATCGTGATTGCGAACTATCGTTCGTACAGAACAGCGCTTCTTAAACTTTTCCTATTCGCCACCCCAATTATACAGACGAGGAGATACGTATAATACAATAAATATACGAATAAAACGTTAATCGGCGACTAGATCAAAGAAGTTTAAGTTTAAACAATTCTCCGTTATATCTGTAACTTTATCGCTCATTACCACTTATCGGGACAAAATTAAATTTGCATATTTATTTTTGCACGAGGAGTTGAACATATTCGTGGAAGATACCTTGGTTTTTAAAAACCATTTAAATGATTTTTCAAAAAGCCGATGGTTCATATCCGTGTCGATTAATAACTGGCGGAATTCTCGATCCTTTGACGACGGACGATCGGCATTGTTCGTTTCACCGGTACAGCGTGGCATTTACAAAAATTTCGACGACCCCTGTCGTAATCCTGTTACGTAACTCGCGTAACACGGGGTCGCGACCTACAGATTAAGAAGCCCTGGTACGGAACAAAGTCCTCGCATTTCGTCTTTACTCCACGAAGAAAGATAACGATGAAAAAGTGAATTACGATCGAACTAAAAGTACGTAAATGTAAAAGAATAGCGTTGCTATCGAACGAGAAAAGAAAAGTCATTGAACACGCGCTAACGTATTTAAATTAGATGCATCGAACCTGTCGTTTCTGTTTAACCGGTTCAGGACGGGTATGCGCTATATTTATATAATACGACTCGAATATTTCAGTATCTTTGAGCGATTAAGTTTCCTTTAAAGCAGGCTTTCTGGCCGTGCGCTTCCATGTAAATCGCAATCAACTTTTACAATGTACTTGAAATATACGTGTCGTAGCGTCGAATTTCAAGTTTCGTTCGCTTTACGATAAGACAAATGGCAATGAAATCGTAAAATAAGTGCGTTCGATCGGATAACGCATTGTAATAGAATATTAGAACGTACGATAGCGATAAAATGTATCGAGTCAAGTAATTAACGAGATAAGAGGAGTCAGAATGTAAAAAAATTAATAGCCGATAATCTACATATACATCAATAATACATAGTTACAAAGCGGGGAAAATTTGTCTTCCTTCGTTGGCATCGTTGAGGAAAGATACAAATTTTACCGAGAACAGCGGAAAAAGAGAATCCAACTATGGTCGAAATTAAATACAGACCATAAAACACACAGAGAAACCACAAAGCTTGGACGTACGTGTAATTGACAATTTTAACGCAGTTGATAACCGTAATTGTCGCAACAATTCTATGGGAATTGTCGACAAAGTTGATATCGCCGTTTCAGCGCAATAGCGACGTATCCGCAAATTTGTGACCTTCGAAGTGAACGCATTGCTACTCTCAGACATACCTGATCTTTCCATTATAGAGGAGCGTACGAACGATCGATATTATTGTCAATATTTAAGTTTCTCGATATTGTACTGGCGATATACAGGGTGACCTCGATTTTCGCAACCTTGTCGATATATTCTGTAGGTCAGGATAAGGGAAAAACGTCGATAAACGTATCGCACATCTGCTTCAACAATGACACGACGTCGTTCAAGATTCGTAGAGTTTTTGAGTTACGTTTCTTTCGTTTTCTAAGGGAATAATAGATGCACAACGTGTTTTGTTTTATCTCTACGTACGTATCATACGCTGTATTATCTCTAATATTTCTATGTATCTCTATCGTATGATCAAAACGGGTCATACGTAACTCGATAGAACAATATAAAGCAAGAAATGTGTGCATCCATCATTTCCTTGGAAAACGAAAGAAACTTTCGGGATAATGTAATATTTTCTACTGGTATAGAATCCCCTGAGTGAAGCTCTCAAAGATTCACCGCGCGAAGACAGCTGTGCAGTTATGCATCGCATCATCGCGAAACCGGAACAGTTAGGAACGTTCGATCTCGTTCACCCTAAAAACATGATTTTTCAGTTATCGTCGCAGCGGATGATCGACCTGTCGTTGGAAGCTTCGTCGTGGAGTCATAATGGAAAAAAGAAGAAAAAAAAATAATGAAATAAAATAAAACGACCTAGCAAGCCAACCTTTCCTTGGCGAACTTCCTTTATCGCTGCATAAAGTAGGAATAGATCGGGAATATTTACATCTGGTAGTACTCAGAAGATATCGTAATATGTACTTCTACGACCGCAACTCCAACGAGTAATAAACCAGGAACTTCAAGGGGTAATAAATTCGATCTTTCGCCGCTGCCAATCTCGTATCGACAGGAATGCCGAACATCTTGAAACGAACTTGTACTCCAAGTCGTACAAGAATCACGATAGCTTCTGGCTACTACCAGATACAAATGTTTCTCGTCTATTAATACCTTGCGTCGTGGTAATACACGTTCGTCACCGCTCGTTGCGTATATCTTTTCTTTTTTCTCGTAACTCTTTAACGACACTTCCAATGGCGTACGTTTATGTAACTTCTTTTTTTCTTATCTCGGCCCGTAGAACGTGTATAGACAGCGTCTGGCCGGGAAAACAAAACTGGGACGGCAAACACCTTGTATATCGATCATCCGCAGCGTCTGCCACGTACGATATCATTGAGAACCTTAAATATTGACGATAATATCGATCGTCTGGACGCTCCTTTAAAGTTTCATAATTTTCCGAACGTTGTTGACCAGTGGATGAGAGTAACGTCGCTACTGAAATATTTGTTGTTAGCTGACGCGCTTCGTAGCAATAACGGCGTAAGTTGTGTCGTAAACATAGCTAAAAGTAAAACCAGAGAGAATGCGAACCACGTTGTTTATCTCGACGTTGTACATTTCCTCCGTTATTTAATTACAAGTTTTACCGGACGAACAAACTCGTTCGCTTCGTCTCCTGAGAAATCACCTTTTTCTCTGCAGTTGCGTCATCGCTGCGCTGGAACGGCGAGCGTACATAAGGTGCTCTGAATTTCTCCAAAAATCTGCATAGAGATTATATCTCTTGCTATTTATAACGTTTAGTTAGACGAAACGTCTTAAATTCATCTCTCTGCTACTTTCAACCGCAATTAACGAAAAGCGTCGTCAGACTGCACGATTCAACGACCAGATCTGCAATCTTATCGTTTATTATTCAAGCTAACTGTTAGACTGTCTCAAAAGTCTCATTTTCTGTTTTGTATTATTTCGTTGAGCTATGTCGTTACGATCCATTTTGTTCTATCGCTATTTTTGTCTTCTTACTATTCCTCCGTAGCAACAGTGGTAGTAGGACAAGCTGGATCATACGGAGTTCGATGAAATAACATAAAACAAAAAATGCTGTGCGTCTACTGTTTCCTGATAAAACGAAAGAAACTTTTGGCACAGCCTGATACTTTTCGTTTCATACGAAGACGGATGAAAATCATTCGTCAGATCCAAAAGGAATATTCGTACCATCGTACAAGAAACACACAGCGATCCGACTGATCCGAGCGCGAAGAACATGACACGTCGGATCCCGTATTATCGATTTCTTCGAAAATTATCACGCGCAAAAGAGACATTTTCAGGGTAATACAAAAGATGATCGTTATTCGTGTCTATCTTTAAAGCCCCGTCCTAAAAGGGTTAAAAGGTGTGAGGAATCATGATGACGGCATTTTAATTTACCTCAAGAGTATCCTATTATCCCTGAGCCATCGTTTCGATTCGTTCGCACCAGCGAACATGTTACACGATCCTTCTCTCGTATTTTACGTCTGTTGCATGCACGCTGACAGCGTCCGAAAAACGAAATGTTCTCATAAGCAAATGTTCCTTTCTTGTCGCATGCTTTTTCATTTCTCTTTTCTTTACTTATCGCAAAACTCGACAAAGCAAACAACGATATTCCAGTTTCCTTATCCGTTACATTTCATTATCAGTTCTCATCGCGAACTTGGTCGTTCGTTTCGTCTCAATGCCAACTTTCCAGCGGGATTTAATTTACGTTTGGCCTCGTTCTAAGCTCACATCGCATCCATAACGCGTTGCGTCTCGTCGAACGATCGTCTAGTTAGCTGGTTAAACGTTAGCCAGTTTACAATCGAGGGACCCAGACGTGGAAAACGTGCGAACACGTGGTACTAAAAATTGACGGCAAAATCAGCTTCAGCAGCAGAATAAATTCTTCTCGAGAAAGTTAACGTTAAACCGCGATCGTCTT